CAGTCGGAATACAATACCGAGTACATCAGTCGGAATACAATACCGAGTACATCAGTCGGAATACAATACCGAGTACATCAGTCGCAAGAAAAAAAAGAATTGGATCATGTTTGTCTGGGAATACAAATCCTGACACTTTTGTTGTTTAACGCCCCTAAACGGTACACACAATTCATGTAGATACCTTTGTTGTAAATATTTGGCTTTGGTTTTGGTTTTAATTTGTTAAGCGTCCTATTAACATCCAAGGTAAAATAAGAACACGCCTCTATGTGTGTTGTGTATGCGTGCATGTGTGTATGTACGCCGGAGACAGGATATGTTGGTGTATTTTATTTGCCTCCTTGTGATAGTGCCGATCTAATGCCAACTTTATAGTGCTATCTCACTAAAATACCATGCCGAAGGCACCCAGCACCCAGTTTAACAGGGAATAACAACTACCATTTTTAAGGACTTTGGTATATCCCAGCTATGAGACAGAATCCATTGCCTTCCTCACCTGGGCGAACGTTCAACGTTAAACCCAAAATTGAGGTATTGGCGAGCAAGGCGCTAGGAAATAAAAGGTAGTCTGAAGCAGGTATAATTTAGAGATCCAAAATATTGCAATAGGTGCAGCAGTTCTATTTTTGTCGCTTTTGTGTTCCCAAGTACAGGACACAAAAAGCATATCCCCAATTCTGCAGGGGGTTCCCGCATTAGAAGCCTCTTACGATACATGCAGTGGGTAACAGCGGGTGTGTTCCTTTCTCGATCTCCAACTTTCAGGGGTTTGTTGTACTTTTAAGAGTATGCCACCCTGAGATATACATCCTCGACATTCCAGGGGTTACATTCACTTACAGTCTAGATAGTGACGTAAGTGAGCGTAACCTCTGGAATGTCAAGGGTGCTTGAAATAAAGAATGCATTAGTGGAGACTTTTGTTATAAGGCGCACCCTAAAATACAGGATTGAAAACCTTTGTTATGAGGCGCACCCTAAAATACAGCACTGAAAACCTTTGCTGTAAGGCGCAACCAAAATTGCTTTAACGGAAACGTTGTTATAAGGCGCACCCTAAAATACAGGATTGAAAACCATTGTTATGAGGCGCACCCTAAAATACAGGACTGAAAACCTTTGTTGTAAGGCGCATCCAAAAATACAGGACTGAAAACCTTTGCTGTAAGGCGCACCCAAAATTACTTCAACGGAACGTTGTTATAATGTGCACCCTAAAATACAGCACTGAAAACCTTTGCTGTAAGGCGCACCCAAAATTGCTTTAACGGAAACGTTGTTATAAGGCGCACCCTAAAATACAGGATTGAAAACCTTTGTTATGAGGCGCACCCTAAAATACAGCACTGAAAACCTTTGCTGTAAGGCGCACCCAAAATTACTTCAACGGAACGTTGTTATAATGTGCACCATAAAATACAGGATTGAAAAGCTTTGTTATGAGGCGCACCCTAAAATACAGGACTGAAAACCTTTGTTGTAAGGCGCATCCAAAAATACAGGACTGAAAACCTTTGCTGTAAGGCGCACCCAAAATTACTTCAACGGAAACGTTGTTATAATGTGCACCATAAAATACAGGATTGAAAACCTTTGTTATGAGGCGCACCCTAAAATACAGCACTGAAAACCTTTGTTGTAAGGCGCACCAAAAATTACAGGACTGAAAACCTTTGTTGTAAGGCGCACCCAAAAATACAGGACTGAAAACCTTTGTTGTAAGGCGCACCCTAAAATGCAGTGCTTGACACAATGGCTGTCAGGCGCATTCAAAAATACAGTAAGTAAACTTTTGTTGAAAGTCGAACCCAAAATTACTTCACTGAAAATCTTTGCTGTAAGGGGCACCCCAAAATACAGTACTGGAAACCTTTGATGTTAGGGGCATCTAAAAATACAATAAGTAAACCTTTATTGCAAGGCGGTCGAAAAAACAGTAAGTAAACATATTTTGTAAGGCGCACCCAAAATTGCTTTACTGGAACCTTTTGTTGTAAGGCTCACGGAAATATAGTACTGAAAACCGTTGTCATAACACACACCCCAAAATACTATACTGGAAAGTTGGAAACCTTTGTTATAAGGTGCACCCATATGACAGCACTGGAAATCTTTGTTATAAGGCGCACCCAAAACACAGTACTGGAAATCTTTGTTATAAGGCGCACCCAAAACACAGTACTGGAAATCTTTGGTTTTTTTAAGGCGCACCCAAAACACAGTACTGGAAATCTCTGTTATAAGGCGCACCCAAAACACAGAACTGGAAGTCTTAGTTATAAGACGCCCGGAAATATTTTACTGTAAACCTTTGTTGTAAGGCGCCCCAAAAAGCGTCTATAAATCCGCTCTGTTGTAAGGCGTCCAGAGTACAATTACATTTACGTTACTTTTAGCTTCCAACACCGATACCTATCTATCGAAAACAAATGGCTTGAAATAGAATGTTGTCTCGACAATTCCATCTAGATCGTAATCCCTGTTTAAGAAAGAGACACATTCGATTTTTTGAAAGAAATCGTACGACTTGTAAAAGACGTTGATACCCAAAAGCTTTCCACAAACAAAATGTATTACTTCCTTAATTTTTGAAAGTGGATTGGTATTAACAGCAGATACTATCGCCTGTTGTCAATGCGGAATACATATGTTTAACCATGCACAATCCCCAACACACACTGTATTCATTTGTGAGAGGGGTAGTTTCATCCACTGCATGATGACGTCAACTCCCTAATGTGGGTACCTACGTGTAGTGTTAATGTTGTTACATGGTACCTGGCGTTTTAGGGCGGTATGTGAGTTTGTTAAAATGTCAGCCATCAACGTTTCAAACGAACAGTAACTGTTACTCTGTTAAGACGTAAACGGTTTTAAAAGTCCCCTCTAGACCACACGTTATTATACAGAAAGAAGAGACGGTCCTGGTGTAAGTTCTGTAAGCAAAAGGCAATAGACGTACAGTAAGGTTAGCTGATTTGTATGACATCCACAAACTACTTTGATGTGGTACAGTGTGTAGCTGGCGGAGCACGACATCCACAAACTACTTTGATGTGGTACAGTGTGTAGCTGGCAGATCACGACATACACAAACTACTGTGGTGTGGTACAGAGTGTAGCTGGCAGAGCACGACATACACAAACTTCTGTGGTGTGGTACAGTGTGTAGCTGGCAGAGCTTGACATACACATACTACTGTGGAGTGGTACAGTGTGTAGCTGGCAGATCACGACATACACATACCACTGTCGTGTGGTACAGTGTGTAGCTGACAGAGCACGACATACACAAACTACTGTGGTGTGGTACAGTGTGTAGCTGGCAGAGCACGACATACACAAACTACTGTGGTGTGGTAAAGTGTGTAGCTGGCAGAGCACGACATACACAAACTTCTGTGGTGTGGTACAGTGTGTAGCTGGCACAGCACGACATACACAAACTACTGTGGTTTGATACATTGTGTAGCTGGTCGAGGACGACATACACAAACTACTGTGGTGTGGTACAGAGTGTAGCTGGCAGAGCACGACATACACATACTACTGTGGAGTGGTACAGTGTGTAGCTGGCACAGCACGACATACACAAACTACTGTGGTTTGATACATTGTGTAGCTGGTCGAGGACGACATACACAAACTACTGTGATGTGGTACAGTGTGTAGCTGGCAGAATACGGCATACACATACTACTGTGGTGTGGAACAGTGTGAAGCGCACGAGATACAAATAAAGCTGTAAAAGCAAAATATGTCCAAGTTCCTACCAGCCAATAGAGAGGGCTCACAATCCCATATTCAAAGATTGGCTTTTTATATTTCTTCGATGTGAATATAGAACATCTATTTGACATTTATTTACAATTCAGTGACATACAACATTTCGAATGTTTTTAAATGTCACTAGATGAAAAGTTTCAGCAATTTGGCCGATTAGATGGTGAACGGCCACCAGCTTGTAAGACACTATTAAGTAAATGAAACAGACCAATCAAACGTAATCACTTTCAAAAGAAATTAATAGTCGAGAATAGCAATGCGGAATATTGACTTTCTTCGTGGGTTATGGACGAAAAAGTACCTAGAATAAAAGGAATATTTGTTCTATTTGAATTGAGTATGTAACTTCAGTTCAAGACGTACACTGTAGCGACGTCAGTGTGTTACGGACAGCCGTACGCAGACTATTGCGACCTAAGACCTCTTTCGTATACCCAGTACAGGTTGCACACTGGAATCGGAAGTGCCGATAAAGTTGAACAATTCATGAGTTTTCTGTCAAATCAATAGCGATAGGGCAAGCAGCTATTTGCGAGTTTTAAAAATATCTGATAGTCGAATTTGTTCTATATAACGCAAACTAAGATTGGTATCGACGGTCAAGCCGTTTAGTTTCAGCCAGTCACGTCTTGGCACCTCTAACTGCAAGTGCCGAGTTATCTCCATGCCGTTTCTTATCACTCTTTTCGGGTAAATCGGTTGCAATAGTTAAACTAGATAAATGAAACACCCGTAACGACGGTATAACGTATGCGTATCCTACATTGGTACCAATAGGTCACAGAGTAAGATCGAACTGTGTTACGGATAGCCACACAAAGACTACTGCGATCTCCATCCGTCAGGCGGAAACTGTATTACGGACGAACAGATCAGTGACATCATAATGACAGATCTGTTACGGACAAACACTATTTCGAATCTCCTGATCACAAAACCTTGTTTCTGACGAACGGATATACATGTACGAATATCATCATTCCAACAGTATTTATTGAACTATGTTAAGAACAACGCCGCTGAAATTTTGAAACACTCGAAAAACCAAACGAACACTTCATAGCTACCGCTGCCTTGTTTTAAAAGATTGGTCTTGCGGATATGCATACGAACACTACAACGGTACCGGTAATGACGGAACAATAGTAAACAGGGGGAACTAACGAAAGCTTAATGATAATAACAGAATAATAAGAATGAGTACTTACATTCACGTTCCGGCTCCAACTGTACATCTAGTCTCAGTCACTCAGTTCCGAAATCTCAAATAAATCCAAAACTGGACACGGTCACCCAGCTAGCAAAGCTGCGTGACTTCAAGGTCACCGTTTTTATCTTCAATCACAGGAGAGTTGCCATTCTGTGTTTGGCTCAGTCACGTATGTGTGGTCGATGTCGGAGACCTGCAATATATGGAAATATCATACATGTATACTTATATTGTGTATACTAGTATTCCTATGGCCTAATCTTCGGTATCTTTGTAACGTATGGAGTGACAACAAAGCCACGACCTTACATGTGCACAATGTAACTGTCAGGGCAGACAGACACTTGCAAACTATCTCACTCGTCCCCAGAACCCCCACGATGAGCGTGTCGACATGTAGAGTTTAGCGAAGTTTGCAGGCGTGTTATGTCAGCGCTGGGTTCTCTCGTCTCACTCACTCACATCCGCTTATATAGGAAAACATTCCCATTATCTCTACTATTAAAATTTCAATCTTGTTTTAAAAAATTCCCAACTGATTCAAAATATTTCTGGTCGATACTAGAAGATGTACAAGCGAGAGCCCTATTTGGGTAAGCGTCACCTTTCGGCAACTTAGACGTATAACCCCCCGGCGGACGAGCTGGAGCCTTAGCGAGACGAGCTAGTAAGACCGATAATGGCTCCCTTAGTTGCACCTTAAGCGCAGTTTTGGCGATCATTAAATGTGGATATCCCTACAAACCTCCCAGATTACGTCGGCAGGTAACATTCACAACCCAAATGATATTCGATTCTGAAACTCTTTTTCGTGCATTTGTGTTGGCTTGAGAATACCAGAAATATTCCAGAAAGTATACATATGTTTGTGATTAAATCGAATGTGTTTAATAACCGTTCTCGGCATCACCAACATAGACTCAGTAGTATGTGAAGCAGAACTGATATAAAGGTACAGTAATCTATAGAGTTAGATGCACGCGAAACACTACTTATTTATTAGTAGTGTTATATTTGTATATTTACACATTCAGTGCTGTATGAATCCTATTGTTTGATTCAATTGTTTATGCAATACGATTTTGTTTGTGATGCTAATTTCTTGTGTGGTACTTATTGTTCGTGTGATACAGTACTAGTTGTTGTGTTAGGCTTTTTGTGTAATACTACTTTTTGTGATATTTATTTTTTTGTGTGATATTACTTTTTGTGATATTTATTTTTTGTGTGATACTATTTTTTGTGTGGGGCTGTTTTTTGTGATGTTGGCTACATGAGCAATGCTTGATTTGTGTAAAAAATTTGTGTTATGCTTATTTTTGTACGCTGCAAGGATGACGCAAATGAATCAGTGTCGTTCTGAAGCTTGTCGCAAACAGTTAGCTGACGAGAGTTTTGTAAGGTCGTTTACACTGACGATACAAAATAAGTCTCACACATGTTGAGGAATTTGTAAAGTTATGTTGTATAACTAATATCTATAGATTGATAATTGAAATATACGTGTTGATCAGAGTCTTGACCCCTGTAGGTGATGAGGAGGAATAGGCCAGCTGTATACCACTATATGTATAATGTGGACCCCTGCAGTATCAGAGTTTGTAATATTTTAATCTTAAATGCCCATGTTATTATGATTTGCGAGCAAATCTTTTAAAAACTAATACATTAAAAAGTCAATCATGCTTAAATTGATAGGACTACTAACTGTGAAAAGAAATAAAGAAAAAACGAATTGTGGGAAATATAAAAAACAAATGCAAATTCGGAGAGGACCAAATTATTATAATGAGCTCAATTGCACTCTCCGAACATATACTACTGTTTCTATTTGTAATTGTGTTGTGAGTGTGTGTAATGTTGTGTGATGTTATTTTATATTTTCACTGTAAATACTGCACTTTTGTTACTTGTAACTGGGGTGTCGAAAGACTCGAAGTAATAAAGACCTTGAATTTGAACTCGATTTAAAGCGAAGCAAGCCTTGGACTCAGAGGCATCGGTTGTTAAAAAAACCTCACTTGATATTCCGTGTATTCTGCTATGAGGACAACTAAGTACCAACATAAAGCTGCTACTCCAATTGTTATATTTGTGATATATATATATATATGTGTGTGTGTGTGTGTGTTCTACTCTTCCTTTCCGTCAGTGTCTGTCCTGACGTCCGTCCTCTCATAATGATGGCTGCTGTGAAGATGACATACCCCAAACAAAATAAGTTTAATTTTCTCTGAAGCTGAAATGGGGTTTTTTGAAGATGGAAAAGATCACTATTCAACAACTTTCAGTTGGCATTCATAACAGTGTATGCTAACAGGAACGTGACAAATTGTACATGAAGCGCTAGCGCGTTTTCCGTGATACTGGTTTTGTGTCACGCAAGTTTTATGTTGCACCTGTTTTGTCTGATGTTTTTTTGTTGGGTTTACTGTTTTTGACTGACGCTATCTCCATATCGTCATTTAAAGGTTCTTTAATTTAAAAATGAATAAATGCGTTTGTTAACATTTGTGCCACAAATTTACATGTACATTGACATCATTGGAAGTGTATAGTGACTCCCGTATATATCCAGACCCATGTGTTTCCTCTATTTAATCTGAATTAAATGGAATTGACATTTATGCAATGCTTCCAAATATTGATGACGTCAACAAGGAGTCATGGCAACCGGACAAAAAGTGGATAAGGCGCTGACATATAGATGGAAATTATAGGAACCGTCGTGATTGTTCAAGTCTCTGCGGACGTGCAAAGCGTCCCTCTGATACTGATCTCGCGGGTAAGTGTGTTTTCATTCAATAACCGAACGTTGTCTCGTGACATAGGTCAGACACTTAACAAACATAAACAGTATGTGCACTTTATGTACTTACATGTACCTTTCTCGCTCTTTTTTACATGCATGCAAAAATGAATTTCGTGTGGTCGGCAATGAGAACAGAATTGTAAAGAGGAAACGGATGGCAGTTGTCAGAAGGAATACGTGAACCAGGTTTAACACCCTAATGACAATCAATGGCTCCGTTAATTTCGCAAACAAAACAAAATATAGAAATAAGAATAAGAAATCCTTGTGAATGTGCCGCTTGTTATTTGTGATGCGGTCTGTATGTACTTTGTCCCCATAAGGACAAGTTTTTTACCGCTAGAACTAGATAGACACATATCTGAGCTACGCCTCGATCACCACCTATCGTACAATATAGTTAACGACCTACGCCAGTCAATCACATCAGTTTTTTACGTACTTCTGTTATATAACTACAGATCCTCAGATAATTACACGCGTCGCAACACAGTCAATATAATGAGTGTTAAAACACTTCTGCAATTTGTTTTAAAATGTTACGTCATTTAACATTTAACGACTTCGATCAAACTTGTGTGAAATAATTTGTGGCGTTAACGATCAAAACAATACAGCATAACCGGCCATTATGTGCTGCCAAGCACGGGCACGTGTTCAATTAACATTGTGTCGTACCAAATATTAACACGTCAGCAAATACATTTATAACTATATGAAAATTGCACTAGACCGAAAATTGACAAATGCTAACAAAAACACTGAATAATACTTAGCCTGACATATCTAATATCAGCATGTACATATATCAACATGCTGTAGTAATGACATTTGACACGTGTCATCATAGACATATGTTTCGATATTATATGTCCTAACCATTGACACGTGTCGTCACACACATATGTATCAATAGTGTATGTACTTACCATTTACACGTGTCATCACACACATATGTATCAATATTATATATACTAACCATTGATACGTGTCGTCACACACATATGTATCAATATTATATGTCCTTAACATTGACACGTGTCATCACACACATATGTATGTCACATATCAACATTATATGATTCCTTACTCTGGTACATGTCAACACGTACTGACATCCAGTATTACTGACACTTGACACATGTCATCACATTCATATGAACTTAACATGAATCATCTTGTGATACCAAACCTGACATATGCCATCACATATTTACATTGCATGTCCCGAACCTTGACACATGCCATCACATATTAACATTGCAGGTCCCGAACCTTGACACATGCCATCACATATTAACATTGCATGTCCCGAACCTTGACACATGTCAAACGTTCCCACATTGTGTCGTATCGAACCTTGAAACATGTCAAACTTACTAAAATTGCAGATCCCAAACCTTGAAACATGTCACGCGTTCAAAATTAATGTTCTACTGAACCTGGACACATGTCACACGTTCCAACATTGTTTGGAACTGAAGCTTGACACGTCTCGAACCTTGACACATGTCACACGCTCCAACATTGTGTCGTACTGAACCTTGACACGTCCCGAACCTTTGCGCATGTCAAACGTTCCAACATTGTGTCTTACTGAACCTTGACACGTCCCGAACCTTGACACATGTCACACGCTCCAACATTGTGTCGTACTGAACCTTGACACGTCCCGAACCTTGACACATGTCAAACGTTCCAACATTGTGTCGTACTGAACCTTGATACGTGTCAAACTTACTAACATGGTGAAGTACTGAAACTTGACACGTCCGGAAGCTTGACACATGTCATACGTTCCTATATTTGTGGCAATGAAGCTTGGTAAACATCACCACAAAATATGTTTCTACATAAGCCATGTATAGTACTGACACTTGACACTTGGCAAATACTAACAGTGTATGGTACATGTATCTAGCTCAGCGCATACAAAACATGTTTGGTACCGAGCTTTGAAATATAACAACAAAGTAGCATTGTTGTCTTGTGGGGTGTAACATTTACGCTATATTTGTTGTAAGTTATTCCACTAGTAACAGGGTAACACAATAAAACAATAATCTAGGCTACGGTGATATAATGGCACAATAATCTAGGCTAGGGTGATACAATGAAACGATTATCAAAGCTTGGGTGATACAATGAAACAATAATCTAGGCTAGGGTGATACAATGAAACAATAATCTAGGCTAGGGTGATACAATAACACAATAATCTAGGCTAGGGTGATACAATGATACAATAATCTTGTCTAGGGTCTGACACAAAAGCGACGTTTACAAGGATCTATTGATAGAGGTATATTTAAAAGTCACGTGAATCTAGAAAAGAAATACAATTCCTCCGACACGGAGTTCAGTAACATTTGTAAGTTATT